ATCTGAATCCAGTAAGGAGTGGATCCTCGACTCAGGGTGTTCTTTTCACATGTGTCCTCACAAAGACTGGTTTGAGACATATTGATTCCCTTCCGTGGACATAGATCCAGTTGGATTGAACCATGCAAACGATCTGTGTTTGCTTGTGGCAAACCAAAAAAAATGAGTTGGGAGAGCTTTTTTTGAGGGAATCCTCCACTATTTTCAAATTGAGAGAGAGTTTGGGAGAAGAGAAGAGAGATTTCTGGAGGAGAAGAGCCCAAGTGAAGAAGAACTTCTTCTTCTTCATCATTCATCTTTTTCTTTTTGTTTTCTCCTATTTTTTCTTGCTTCCTTGTGTTGAGAGTGCTTCCTCCTTCTTCTTCTTTCTTACATTTAATGAAAAGAGAGTGAAGTTAGGAGAGAGATTTGAAAGAGAGGAGAGGGTTTCTGGAGAGAAGATCAAGCAAAGAAGATCACCTTCTTCTTTTCTTCTTCCCTCAAATTTCTTCCACCAAAAATCTATTTTCTTCATCTTTTTCTTCCTCTTCCACCACCAATTTCTGGAAGAGGGTGAGAGAGCTTGGAGAAGACTTCAAGAGCGACGGAAAGCGACGCGTCTCCTTCTGAAAGGAGAGCTTCTACTCAACTTTGAAAAAGTGAAGAAGTCGCATCACCTACATGGGGAGACCTTCCTCTCATGCTTGGAAGAAGGGGGAGAGGAGCCACTCTATCGCCTCCAATTTTCATTGAATGTCAATGGAATTTTCCACCAACTTTGCCTCCAACTCGACAATCTATTCATGTGATTTTAAATCAGTTGCCACTTCAATGGTCTCAAGGTCAGCGATGTGTTCCCTAGCATCCCATTAGTGCTCCCTGACCTCTAACAGGCCTTCCTCCAACATGAACATGTGTCTCTTCAAATCACCTTGCTCGCTAGTGTGGATCACCCCCCTCACCTACCGCTCACCTACCTCCCACCTACCACTCTCTTGCTTCTATAAATAGAGAGGGTGTGAGGCTTAGGAGAGCAAAGGGAAGAGATCTTAAGCTACCAAAAAGGAGGAGAGAATAACTAAAGAGCTAGAGAGGAGGAGAGCATCTTAAGGCCTTGTAACAAGGTGTCGCTTGAGAGGGAGGTCATAGAAGGAAGATGAGGGCTCATCTTTATGTATAAGCTATGTATTCTCCATTTCTTTTGCCTTAGTGAACTATTTGATTGATTCCCTTCCGTGGACATAGATCCAGTTGGATTGAACCATGCAAACGATCTGTGTTTGCTTGTGTTTCTTTTTCGTCTCATTTCTATGCCAGGAAGTACATATCTCACAACACCTCCACTATTTTCAAATTGAGAGAGAGTTTGGGAGAAGAGAAGGGAGATTTCTGGAGGAGAAGAGCCCAAGTGAAGAAGAACTTCTTCTTCTTCATCATTCATCTTTTTCTTTTTGTTTTCTCCTATTTTTTCTTGCTTCCTTGTGTTGAGAGTGCTTCCTCCTTCTTCTTCTTTCTTACATTTAATGAAAAGAGAGTGAAGTTAGGAGAGAGATTTGAAAGAGAGGAGAGGGTTTCTGGAGAGAAGATCAAGCAAAGAAGATCACCTTCTTCTTTTCTTCTTCCCTCAAATTTCTTCCACCAAAAATCTATTTTCTTCATCTTTTTCTTCCTCTTCCACCACCAATTTCTGGAAGAGGGTGAGAGAGCTTGGAGAAGACTTCAAGAGCGACGGAAAGCGACGCGTCTCCTTCTGAAAGGAGAGCTTCTACTCAACTTTGAAAAAGTGAAGAAGTCGCATCACCTACATGGGGAGACCTTCCTCTCATGCTTGGAAGAAGGGGGAGAGGAGCCACTCTATCGCCTCCAATTTTCATTGAATGTCAATGGAATTTTCCACCAACTTTGCCTCCAACTCGACAATCTATTCATGTGATTTTAAATCAGTTGCCACTTCAATGGTCTCAAGGTCAGCGATGTGTTCCCTAGCATCCCATTAGTGCTCCCTGACCTCTAACAGGCCTTCCTCCAACATGAACATGTGTCTCGGCCTCTGGTTCTTCTTTTATAAACTTAATTTCCTTCAACCTTGGTCAAAAAATTTTGGCATGAAGGCACAACCTTGAGATCTTAATCTCTTCAACGATAGCTCTATCCATCACAAGATGCTAAAGTCGTAGCAGGGAGTCACTCTTCTTCAAAATAAGAATTCATGGCTCCCACAAAACGGAAAAAATATTACCTCAAGAGTATTGATGAATCAGTACTCCAATGGTGGGGTGCCACGTAGCGCCACGGTGGGACCATTGCGTACGTGACACCCCACCATTGGAGTACACTTCTGAGGTAATATTTTTTTCCACAAAACGTCTTTTTTAAAAGCCACCAAGGGAGTGCACCTTTTAAGTTTGTTAAAAACCACAATTAATATTATTTTTGACTATTAAATCATTTTTCTTTGGAAAACATAATGACGTTACTACGGACGCTTAGAAAACATATCCAAGATCATGGCAAAGATGATACGACCCTTATTCTCCGACAAAAGTACAATCAAGAACAATAAGGAAGTCCCAATTCGTACTATTGTTATGTTAACATTTTCTAACTTACGTCCAACTCTACTAGAAAGTAAACAAGTTCTTGTTTATAAACAACTCAGACTACTAGGCAAAGAAAATTTCATTTATGATTGCACTCATTCAAAAGATCAAGAGACTACTCTCTACGAGTGGAGCTAGGGCTGCCAAAAACGGCTCATTGTTCGCGAACAACTCTTGTTTAACTTTTTAACATACTCGTGTTCGTTCGTTCGCAAAGTTAACGAGCCGAACACTAACGTTTTTTTATGCTCTATATATAAACAAGCCGAATACTAACAAAAATTTGTTCGTCCATGTTTAGCTCGAATATTACTCATAAATTATATATATATATATATAT